CCATTTCCGGAAAAGATGAAAAAGGCTAATTGGAGTGAGTATATGGGACGGATGTCACCTGTACGATGGCGAACGGACTGCGATTCCTAGCGGACTTTCATGCCTGTCACAACGGTCGTATCTGAGATCACGTTTGCTATTTTTTCTTAATATCGGGGTAGATCGTGTAATTTTTTTGATATTTCAAAATATGAAATAAATTCTCTTTCAGTTCTTACGTTTGACGTGACAAAATCTGGACAGACGTATATCGGGGTAGGATCACAAACCACGTTGACGTGTCAGTGGACAAAATCGGCTGGGGTTGACCTTCTGAGAGTAAACTGGAGACAAGGTTCTACAATAATAGCAGGTGCTATCTTACCTAACTATACACTTATAATGGGAGGTCAAGGTCACCACACGAAAGACAAAGCGACGGACAACCGGCAAAGAAAAGTTTGAAAATATCGACGAAAAATGTCGCCAATTGAACAGCACTGACCGTAAATAAGACGATAAGTATACAGAGGCTACGTGTGTAGTTAAAAAATTAGTAGACTTTGTTGCTTTTTGCTGACTTTAATGATATGGTGCAGCGCTATAACCAGGTCACGTTTCGCCGTTACTTCGATTGACCCTACACCCTGCATGTCACACGAGCTATGGGAAAATCTAAGAATAAAAAGCGAAAAGTTAATAGTCCTAGCAGTAGTAGTGAAAACTTCCATCTTAGCAGCATTTTGGAGGACGCCAACGCAGTCTTGTACGGAGACACAACTGAAAACCACCCCACCATGGCTGGTCTACAACAATCAACTCCTATAGCTGCATCACAACGGGAAAATAACAATAAGCTGCCCACAGGGGGGATGTCACTGGAAAACATAGCACTACAGATGGCAGACATCATGAAAGAATTGAAGGTGATTAAGGACGGTCAAAAAAGCATTATTGAAAATAATACAAAAATGTGTGAACATTTGAAAAAAGATATCACGCATCTTGTACAAGAAAAAGTAAATGAAATGAAGAAAGACATAGAAGTAACGGTCAATACTCAAAATTTAAAGCTGAAAGCACTACAGGACAAAACACTAGAACTGACTCACGATTTGCAAGAAAAAGATAGAATTATTGATTCGCTTAAATGTAGAATAGAATCATGTTTGGATAGCCAAAAGTCCGGTGTGGAAAACCCAGATATTTCAGTCATCATAACAGGCCTGTATCAAAGTCCTAATGAAAACTTGGAGGACAAGGTGGGACAAATTCTGATGACCATTATGCCACCTGAATTTGAGCAAGAGGCTGTGGACCTACCCAGGATACAGGAGTGCAAAAGACTGCAAAGCAGGAATGGAAAACCCGGCCTTGTAAAGGTAGCCTTAGGCAGCATAGAAGAGAAAATACTAGTATTAAGGCAGAAGCATAATTTAAGAAATAGTACAGATGCAAGAATGCGAAAAGTACGTATACATGCCAGTAAATCCCACTGCGAGAGAGTTCTTGACAAAAACATGGAATTCTTGTTACAATATGTGCCAGAGGGACATAGGTTCTACATCACCAACCATGGGCTTATTAAAGAAAAAACTGCCGATAGGATGCGACAAGATAATACACGTATGGCTACTGCCACAAATAGCGCCCAAATGCAGCCGGTCAACGTAGTTCAAACCCCAGCCCCGTACATAAATGCACCGAGATACACAAACCCAAGCGGACCCGAAAATATCTTTCAAGCAGTACCAGTGAATGGAACGCGAATACCAGTAAACGGAATAAGGACCCCTCTCTTACGCCCGCAACATGCTGTATCACCACCATTAACCATGAATCGCTAGGACAGGCAGCCCTTCGGCCAAGTTTTGGACTACAATCAGTTTAACACGGATATCGCACGCGAGGAGGTAGAAACCTCGCCCACCATAGAAAAATGCTTAGTTTCGGTAAAAAAAGGTGAAGTTTCGGAGCTAAGTTTCATTTCCTGGAATGTTGGAAAAGGTTTTAGTCGCAAGATACTTGATATTGATTTTTTAGAAATTATAAATGGGTATGATATGATTTTTCTAACCGAATGTTGGTTGAGCAATGATGTGCCAATTGTATTGGCGGGATACGAGTGCCATTTGTATCGAAGAAAGAATCTACGTGGCGGTGGAATAGCCATTCTCTGTAAAACTAAAATTAGAAAATATGTACATATAGTAAGTGATATTTATGATAGTATTATATGGATAAGAATAGATTCCATATGTAATACATTTATACCTTCGAAACCAATCTTTATAGCAGTATGTTACTTTCCGCCAGAAAATAGTATATTTTATAAAACGTATGATGTTGATTTATTTCAAGCTTTAGAAGAGTCTTATAGCAAATTTATTACGGAGGGAGAAGTGTTTATAACGGGTGACCTGAATGCACGGACTAGCAATGTCGATGACTTTATAAGTAACGACTGTTTAGATAAAACGATCCGTGACACTTTAATGTCGGTAATGACTTATAAGATGGATAACATGTTACGTGAGAGGAAAAATGCAGACAATGTGGTAAATCTATTTGGACGCAAATTACTCTCCTTCTGTAAGACAGTGGGTATGAGAATAGTCAATGGCAGGCATAGAGATGACGTAACCGGGAGTTTTACCTTTTGTAACTCAAACGGGCTAAGCACAATAGACTATTTGCTGGCTGAATCTAAATCATTCACTAATATTGTGAAGTTTTCATCAGGCACATTCAACACTTTTTCAGATCATGCACCAATCACGTTTGTCCTGCTTTGTGGGCCTTTAAAACAAAATGCGCTTTTAGATTATGATAAACGTAAGACAGGCATGGAACTTAGAACTAGTGTTTCGGTTAGATGGATAGAAAACAATGCAAAGTCGATAAATGATGCATTAGCGTATCAAATAGACAGTTTGTGTAATACAATGGATGCTCAGATAAGTGACCCCGTAGAACTAAACAAACGGGTAGATGAATTTAGTAGCATGTTAAGAGATGCTGTGTTGCCTTTTTGCAAAGTAAACAAGGTAGATAATCATACCGCCAAAAAGCAGTATGATAAGAAATATTTACAGACTGCTAGTAGAAAATTGGATAAACCATGGTTTGATGAAAATTG